CTTGAGGAGAATGTTATGGTTCCAAAGCTGTAGTTTGCTTTAAATTCCAGTTCCATTCTTTTCTGAGAAAAGAACAACTACTTGTCACAACTTTTGTCATTGGAAGTTGTTTTTTTATGGGTTTGGCTTGGTTTTTTGTTTAACATGCATGTTATATAGAGCAATTATTTCAGGAGAGGGAAAAGATTAAAACAGTTAAAAATGGAGAGAAACGGGAAAAAGTAATTTTAAAGTGTCCTACCTCTTCCTTTTCCCTTAAAGTGCCTGACTGTCTCCTCAAAATTGAGGTATTTATAGTAGCAATCTCTTTTTAAAAGCATAAAATGGAATTCTGAGTCATATTGGTGCTTTTGAAATTTTGTCTGAACTGGTTTATTTAGAGAATTGTTTATGTGTTTGAAGCTGGAATAAGTTTCCTCTGAGATTATACATCAGTACTAATAAATTTGCAGTTTTGTTGTAAGAAGACAAGATATATTTTTAAAAGTTTTCTTTAACAATACCTCTGGTATGTTACTACAGTTAAAAATAAATAATGCTTACCTCCTTTAGACAAAATTCAGATCTGTTTGTCAAAAATATCTACTTGTTAGTTGTTGTGTTTTATTTTCACCTTGTTTAGTTGCTATGCAGTTCTTAGATTTGTTCATATTTTTCCTTGTGGCTTACTTAATTAAAAGTAATATTTCTAATGTAAACTTGATTTTCCTCTATATGTTTACACAAGAAAATTCATATAAAGCTTCCCTTAATACAATGTTTGTGCATATTTTAGCTGGTAAATAGATCCCCTAGATACTGTTCTGCATTATTAAATGGCCCCTAGAAAATGGCCCCATTTTTTAATATTGTAGTGATGCATTCTTCACCACAAATACTCGTTAAAAGAATGTAAGGAGAATTTAAATTTTATTTTATTTTGCATTTTCTGTCTCTATAATACTATTTTGTTGTTATTTACCATTGTACTTTTTATTTAAATGTGTACTAAAGAACTCCACTCCATTATGCTGCTGCCAATTGTAATTATCAGTGCCTGTTTGCCCTTGTGGGATCTGGAGCTAGTGTGAATGACCTTGATGAGAGGGGTTGTACACCTCTGCACTATGCAGCTGCATCAGACACAGATGGAAAGTAAGTAGCATGCTTTGAACTTAAATCCTTTCTCCTTAGAAACATTTGACCTGTGAATTTTGTGTATGTTTTGCCTTCATAATTGCCAAGTGCATTTTTTTATGTTTTCAAAGGTTAAACTTGACAGTGGATTGTTAATTGTACGTAAAATATTTTATGTAACAAGTGTTTCTAAGAAAAATGAACAATAATAAAATGTATTGTAATTTTTTGGTTATGTCCTATAATGCAGGTGTCCTAATTCAGGAATTCATTGGGAATAGAGTTTTTAATCCAATCTGCTCTGTAGTGGTTCAGTAAATGTCGTTTGTCACTATGACATTTCTGAGCAGGAGGGTCATTTTCGCTTTAAAATCAAATTCTGATCAAGGATGGTGTGTTTTATGGCGCGTTCTTAATGTTGCCCAAAAATATGTGTAGCTAGTCGGAAATACACTGTAAAACTAGACTGTAAGTTACAGTAAGCCTACATCAGGATAAAAATGAACATTCAAATATAAGATTCTTTATCCATTTCATGCTTGATTAAACTATTCATGTTTGGCATTACAACTCTCTCTCTTGTCAGTATAAATTTTGTGAAAAAAGTTACACTTTTATCAATGAAATGCATCCAGAATCTTTCATAAATCCATAAATGTCTCTTGCATGTGTTTATTTTGTAACTGTTATATTTAACATCGTTATTAATGACTTAAATGCTTACATGCAAAACTTATATAGATAGCCCAAAACTGGTGAGGTTACTTAAGCTCCAGACACTGTATATATTGAGACTTGAGAAGAGTACCACTTGCATGTGCAGACACTCAAATACACAGGTCAAAACAAGCTGGTGTGCAGCATCGCATTTCAAATGCATACAGGGACACCTTCACTGGAAAAGAGTGCTGCTTAGTACCATATCATCCTGTTTTAATACAGCACCTTTCAAAAGGTGAGGTAGCAATAAGAATGTGGTGGCATATAACTTGCAGATTGGGTTTTGAAGGGTAAATAAGGAACACTTTCATGGCCATTTAACTAATATTTAAAGTACATGCCTTTTTACATAAAGCCAAATTTCAAAACAAAACTGCTGCTTTTTAGATACACTTTCAGTTCCTGCTGGAGTTTGCTGAGATAATTTTACTTTAATTGCCCTCTTACAAGTTGAGCTAGGATTAATTTTAGCTTCGCAGTTGCTCTGAAAACCTCCAAACTATAATGGTTCTTCAGATGACATCGTTTTGCCATCTGTCTTACAAAAGGCACAAGCAAGAATGATGATGGCAATACTGCAGAGCTTTGGGAGATAACTCAAAGAATTGTCTCTGGAAGCCGTGTGATACTGCCTTTCTGATTAACAATTGGCTCTCTGGAAGACAAGCTGCAAAGCAGAATGGCCTGAGGAGAGGCATTTTATATTGATGCAGCAAGATGATTAGTAACAGCTGGAAAGCCAGCTCATATTCAAAACAGGAATGAAGCTAAAAATGATTGCTCAGTTGGAATATAAAGCCTGGAAAAAAATGTCAGGAAATTATTTATATAGAAATGCCAAAGATATTTATGTGCATTTTTTATAGTCTTTGTTCAGACATCTTTAAAGACAGATTTTAGGGACAAGGATGTTTTCGCTGAAAAAGATTTCCTGTTTGTTCCTGTTTGGAAATGTTTCTTCTGTGTCTTTAACAACTGCTTCTAATCTGGAACAAACACCAGTGAGCCTCCTTTTGACAAGGCTAGACAGAGAAACATGATCACAGAATGAGATAAACTAAGCAGCATCTTTAGGGGAGAAAAACCACGCTCTTTCTATGTTAGAATTATTTAATAGACAGTACACCAATAAAGATAAACTTATTTCCCATTTATTATCTGGACTTTCAGGAAGTTTGATTAATCTCCTTTTAAAGACGTCTGTTGAGGACAGTTAAGTATGCAAAAGTTGCTAAGTTAATCTCTTTCCTGGATGAGAAGAAACAGCAAAAATAATTATCTGTTTTGTATTGGAAAGAATGGGTACTCAAGGATTTTTAGTGAACTTTGCTTCCTGCGGTGTATTTAGTGTACTGTGGCTTTTGTGAGCGTACAAATACAGAAAGTACACAAGTATAAAAATTCAGATGGCCAAGGCCAGTGATGTTTAATGTTTATTAATGAGCCATGAAAATAAAAAATAATTTATTAAAACTAACAACCAAAGTTAGGCAATTGGACAAATAAAATATAGGGACAGTAATTCTCACTCGATGGGACAAATTGACTTCTCTTTGGATTCTCAGAAATCTCATCCCGTTTTAATTCACATAAAAACATACAAGCACAGTTGCCATTGATGAAACCTAGGCATTTGTTTACTGAACAAACAAAACCTGAATGAGTTGGTTAAAAGCATAGATATGCCTTACAGTTAGCTTTTTTTTTTAGATATGTTGAACTTATTGCAAAGTTATTTACATCTTGTGTTAAAAAGGTTATTATTTAAAACTGGAAAATTTTTACCTTTTTCACTAGCTAAGTCATTTTCTCCTTTATGCTCGACACAAAATGATGGAAGTGAGAGTGCACCTTGGCATCACTCCTGTTCTTCGCAACTTTGTAATGAGACAGAGTACTTTGTAATTAGATACTTCCTTGTTTATAGTTTTTTCTGCAGCTTTTTGCCCCTTTCATCTCCACTCACCTGGTTTGTGACTTTAACCCTTTGTCTGGGGCAAATGTCAGGTCTTCAGTTCAGGAAATCGCTGTTGTTGCACATGAGGTTATCGGGCCCTTGACCCAGTACAGCTGTCTTATGTTGAAATGTGTTTCCATTTCATCACAGCTGGTACTGGATCTCATTCAGGTGATGAACTTGCCTGGAGTCAGCAGATGGAACAGTGCCCTTCCTTGAAAGAACTTAGGAAGAGTTCTGATGTTGCAGGGTCATGCTGTCTTCCCTCAGCATCTTGCTGCATCAATATAAAAATGATGGCTGCTTTTGTAGAATTTCTGCCTGTATTTCTCCAAGGCTTGAATGTTCTCCAGGGTTTTGAATGATCAAGTTTCTACTCTTAACGGCATTGATCAGAGGTCATATTAGGATCCTTCCCTCTCAAATCTAAACCCGCCGTATCCCACTGCAAGTTCTCACATGACACCCCAGCATAGCCATACCATACAACTACAAATGTTGAAATTTCCTTTAACTTTTTACCAAACAATTTCCCATTAGATAAATGGGAACTAAAACCCTCATATTGTCAGTGTATCCAACTGGCCTGTTTGTCACTACTGATAATCTGTGAGACCTTTACATAAACTGTGCTAAGCAAGAAAGATTCCAAGCTGGATTTGACAAGACAAAATAATTTTTAGCTTCACATGCAATTTATTTAACTGATAAAGGAGAAGTATTTCATAATCCCAAAGAGAAGAAGGGATGGTGACCTCTTGTACACTTCAGAAAACCATATGGCTTCACCAGCAAGTTCAAGGTCATGATCAGGACTAGCTGTAAACACCTCTGCATTCCAAGGACATGTCTTTGTGATTCTTGACCTACAGAATTAATCTTTCCATCTATAATATAAAGCATGTGTTATTTGCAAAGTAGCTTCACTTAAAGGTGTTCCTGTACTATTATCAATGCAAAGTTCTCCTGTCTGGATTTGCCACTGGAACAATAAATAGTCCTAAACCAATAGTTGTTAACAACTCATGTTAGAAGGACTGGAATGTCACTCTCCCTTGCTGGACTTCTGCCTGATGAAATGGCCATACAGAGGTTGAGTGTCTTTAGACTTTCACCTCCCAGATTTTGTTTAGCTCTAGTTCAGTCTTTAGAAAGCCCTTCTATTGCAGGTTATGTTCCAAGTAATGAGAGAGATGATTGCACTTGAATGTACAACTACTACCTCAGTGATGTCTTACCTGTGTTTTAGTCACGGAGCAGCATGTAGCTTCATGGTATACTTCAGCAAGACTTACAAATCTCACTCCCCTCTGAGATAGATATTCCCCTAGCTGCTTGATGGTCCTTTCCTGAATGGTCAGGCAGTCCTTCAGCAGTGAGAAGACCTACCTATTCCATTCTTCATTTTGCTCTATTGTAACAGATGATCCTTTATAGACAGAGAGCACTTGTGAAAATTGTGGATATCTCAGGGCAAAAGGACCAACCATGTTCTTGAGCTTATTGCTGTGTAGAACACATGCAAAGCTTTCTAGTCTTCTCTTCAAAAATACTGTGCCTGGGTCTCAACAGACAATCTAATCACAATATGCAATATTGACGAGTGGGATGTCATGAAGTCTTTTTATCCATGCTGGACGCAAACGATCCAGTCATTCAATATACTGCCAGATGTTTTTAAATGAATTCAGCTTTGGTGAACCCAGATTGGGAGATCAGATACAAGGATCTGAAGTCCATCTGCCTTTTGTGAAGTACTAGATGTTCTGTTCTCAAGTCAGGTAATCTTACGAATTAGATGCAGTCTTGGTTCTGTTACCGGGTTAAATGGTATGTGCAGTTTCTCAGATTCTGAAGGTTCTGCTTCAGGTAGAACATGAGGAGACCTTCATAATCCTAACTGTTTGAGCAAACTGAGACAAATCAAATACCAGAATCAACTTGTCGATAAGAAATCTAAAATCTCTCCTCCTTCCCTATTCCATTAATTCAGAATTTTAGAGGCTCTGTACAATCTTGATCATGCTCAGTATCTATGTGGATGTTTGGGTGTTTTATTATGGTTTCATGAATATATTTGCAAAATAACCTGATGTTATTCTGGGGCTGTTTCTCACCAGTTTTTATCCTGTTATCTTGAAGCTCTTGAAGCTGAGATTGTTATGTGTCAGGTAGTTCAGTCTAGATCAATTTACCTCTTCATTCTCTAGTGGCTGCTGCTTCAGAGTTCTCATTCTCGTTATTTGTAGGCTTTGCAAAATGTTGCTGAAATGGTAGGCAACATAAAGTTATGAATAAGTAGGGTTATTGGTTGGAATCATTTTGTACGCATGCATGGAGTCTCTTAAAAACAGAAAAATAGGGAGAGGGAGCTGACTTTAATACCCTGTTTTACATCCTCCTGGCTGAGTGTCTGTGGTTGAAGCTGTGCTGATCATGTTCTGCCTTTTAACTTTGTGTAAGGAATGGTAGGATACAAGTATGCCAATAATAAGTGTGTTTACTGATTTTTTTTTTTTTTTTTTTTTT